ACAATCAAATTTACATTTGCTTTTTTTTTTTTGCAGTACTGGGGATCAAACTCAGGACCTTGCACTTGCCAGGCAGGTGCTTATGCCACTGAGCTATATTCCCAGCCCCAGTTTGCTTTTTTTGTAAGTCATTTTAGTGGCAACCTGGCAGATAGTCTGGAGGGGAGTAACACCAGAGACAAATATATCAGATGGGGCCTAAGATAAGCATAGAACCTGAATGTTCAACAAAAGAGCAGCAGAAGGGTGAAAAGGGAACATTATGAGGTAGAACTGGCAGAACTAAGTGACAGAGTTGTTACAAGGAGCACGAAGGGGAGGAGACAGTGATGATTACCTATGAGAATTGTGTTACCGGGGCTGGGAATTTAGCTCAGCGGCAAAGTGCCTGCCTGGCAAGCGCAAGGTCGTGAGTTCGATTCCTGGTACCGGAGAAAAACCAAAAAAAAAAAAAAAAGAGAATTGTGTTACCTTTCAAGAGAAGGAACACAGGAGGAAAGAGATCTCCCTGTACATGCTGAGTTTGAGATGTTTAATCTCTGTAGTTATATTTTACTTTTTTTTATTTCAGAATTTTCTAAACCAAAATAAGGAGATAATGAAAATTGATGGTAGACCCACAAGGGTAACATTACTTACTTGACTTGTAATATATATGCAATATCCCTCACATGTACACATCTAGTAAAACAATCAGTTCAAAAAATAAGGGAAAAAGCTCAATTTGGGAATAAAATGATGCCTATCTTAAGAATGTGTACTATCACCTAATTTAGATCCCAATTCATAAAATCTGTTATCTCAAAGAGAGATTATAGCTCTCAGCAATACTCTGAATCTTCAATCTATTTTTATAAAAATGGCCAAGAAATACTGCAAAAAAAAAAATTACTGACATACAAATGCTTTTTAGTGGCTGGATTTACTGTATCAGTTATTTGCACATTAGAATAACTATGTCAATTACATTATGAACCCATGTTAGTGGCAACCACAGCAACATTGGTTCCATGCTTTGCCACAAACTATACATTAATAGTGGCCAGGATGCTTCTACACCAGCCTGGCCCCAAGAAGTTTACACTATTGCAGTTTGGGGGGCAAGCTCCAGTTATTAGGTCTATGACTTAAATATCCCACCACTGGTCCCAGTCTGTGACACAAGGGGTGAAAATGCTCAAAGTAAAAATTATAGTGATAGAGATGTGAGATAAGTCCTTTTTCTAGAGAGGTGGGTACTTTGCTCAAGGATGCTCAACTGGCAAGTGGCCAGAATTCAAAGGTAGATAACATGCCTGGCTCCACAGCTTATATTCTTACTCACATATATAATAAAAGATGTGCTTTATAAATACAAAAGCTGTGCTTTAAGAACAGGCTGACAGCCCAGCCAAGGGACAGAGTGTAGGTATGAGGGTAAGATTAAACAGGACACAGCTTCCTCGGAAAGCACAGTTTAACATTACCTATCAATTTTAATAGGTAAAACAAAAGAAGCAAGGAGTTTCTCTTTATAGTTGTCACACAGAGCAAAATACCTTGATAAATTTTGAGCAAAGTAAGTTAGTGCAACGAGTTAAGTAGTTCTGTAATGAAGATTAGACTTGCATACTTATTTTTAAAACCAGAAAACAAGAACTGCTATGTTCTTAAAATCATTTTCAGAAGAGCAGAAATCCACTTCTGCTTTAAGCTAGAAACACGTTTACATCTATTAGATTTCTTTACAGCAAATGAAACTACATCTGGGGAAATAAAATCTCTTCCATAAAAAAATCAAGATGAATCAAAGAGATTGTACTTGAGGGAACAGACCCTCATTCCCACAGAACACGTCTCTCTATTCATTCAGATCCTACTCCACTTGGAACAGTTTTCCCATGTTCTCTCTCACAGGACCCTCAGTTTTCACACTTAGAGCACTATCCTCTAACACTGTTTGTGAAAGCTGATGTGGCATTTTCTCTGCTAACTTCAATGCTGTAAGTACTTCCTCTGTGTTGATCACTACAGAGAAACCTTCATGGGAAATCAGATGTAAGTGTGTAGAACAATATGAAACAGTATGTCATATTAAGTGACAGTCTAAGTGAAGGAAATTCTACATGAATTCAGAATATGAACAGTTCAATGGAAGACTGAAATAAACTTGTTCAAGAAAAAAAAAAACACTTGAACAACTCTTCCATTATGTTTTCTCTTCCATCCCTCTTGAATATTCCAAGTTCTGTCCCTCTTAAATATCCCAAGTGCTCTCTAAGCCTTTTCATCAATTTCTGTTACTCATGTTGGGATTTTCATTATCTTGCCATTCCAATTTTATATGGTCTTTTACAAAGAATATTTCTAATATTACATAATTTAACCTTTTCTGTAAGTCCATAATGCATGTGAGGTTCCACAGTTCTCAATGTGGTAAGGAAATGCGACAAGGTCAATAATATAAGTTATCCAAGGCCACATGGTTTTTAACTTGCTACACTAGAATTCAAACTTACTTTTCTTTTCACGAAATTCGATATACTAGTACGGCATACAGCCTTATTAGAAAGCTTCTAATTTCTGCCTCTTCAAGTTACCTTAACAGCTTCCTATAGCCACTTTTTATGACCTCAAAGACCTTTGTTTCCTACTCTACTTCAAGCAATCCAAGACCTCCTCAATCTGTCACTATAGTTCCTTAAAGAATCTTTCCGTTAATTCACTACCTGAGAAATCTCAAGCACTACTACATTCTGTGCACCTCTGCTCAAGCAGGCTTTCTTACCTAATATATTTTTCCTGTCTCCTCAAAATAAGGTCCAACTCTCAGATATGAACCCTCCCCTGGGGGCCTAAACCTTATCAATTAGATCTCAAGAACTTGTCTCTCTCTCTTCCTCTCTCTTCTGTAAAAAGCACCCATCTGAATATAGTCTATGCTTCCTTAAATATACTTAATATTATGATATCCCATCCCTAAATTTAGCTATTCTCAGTACTCTATGATAATTGGGCTTTTGATATAGTCCCCCAACCACTATACATTTGTATTGAACACTACTGGGTACGGAGATTGTTATGCATATTATCTTACTTAATTTTCCCCAAAAACCTATAACGAAGAAAGGCAAACTCAGTGAGGTTAACTGACTTGTCAGTCTTCATAATGTCTGCAAGCAGTAGAGATAATTCAAAGTCAAAATCTTACAATCCCCAAATCCAGGCTCTTCCAGTAACATGATGCCATATATAATATTTGGCCTTCTATATCCACAGACAACATTCACAGATCAACCAATCATGAACTGAAATACATATTTAGGAAAAAATTGCATCTGTTCTACACATGTAAAGACTTATTTTCTGTTGTCATTATCTCCTAAAGAATTGTATTAGTCACCTTTCCCATTGCTGGGACAAACTGATGCCTACAACTTGAAGGACATGAAGTTTACTTGGCTCATTGTTTCAGGGGATTCAGTCCCTAACAGACTGGATCCAAAACAGGAACATCACGGCAGAGGAACATGGTGAAGCAAAGCTACTCAGTTTATAGCAGCCAGGACAAAAGGAGGGGGAACAGCGCCAGAGAAGAAAAGGCCAGGGACCGGATACAGGCCCCCAGTCACACCTCTTGACCCACCTAGATATACTACGAAGTATGCTTTACTAATTCTCTCAGAGAATCCCAAGCCAATCAAGTTGACAACTAACCTTAGGTGTCACAGGAATACAGCATAGCATGTATTTATACAGCATTTACATTATATTAGTTATTAAAAATAATGTACTGAGGACTTCAAGTATACTAGACGATATGCATATATTATATACAAATACGACATCAATTTATATAAAGGACTTAGCTTCTTTGGTTACCAAAATCTGCAGGGGCAGTTTTGCAAGTGAACCCCATTGACACCAAAGGACAATGTATTCTGTAATCTCTGCTTTAGGAGGTCCACGCTTAATGTTTGAAGACCTATACCGAAGGTAGAGGAAGAACAGTAAGTAGCAAGAATGAGCACAGACTGTGAAGTCCTCACCTAGCAAAAGGCAGGATTTGTCTACAAAAATATCTCTCAAGGTCCCATGCTTTCACGTCTTAAAGCATTTTACCATCTCAACCTCCAGAACACGTTCCTGTCTCTTAAAAATTTAGTTCCTCATTGGGTAGATGAGTAAACAGACAAAGGGAAAGCATGCACACTTCAAGGTCACAGAGCTAGAGAAGAACAAATGGTAGCACCCCACTCTCCATACACCTGTTCCTCCCAAGATGCTGTGCAAAGAGCAAGAAATGCCTGCCTAGAAGCAGAGTCGCCCGCTCCTCGTCCTTACAGCTAGAACTACAGTTTTTAAAAAACTGATGGGCAGAATGGGAAAGTGGCAAGTGAGACCAGTCAGCAGTACGCTCGGTGGCAAAGAAAGGGAAATAAAAACGGGAGAGGGCAAAGAAGGCAGGAAAGAAAAAGAAGAATCTTAAGGTTTTTTGTCAGCCCGTCAGGGAAAAACAATATTTAAATATTTGCATTATGTACTGTTGATAAAACGGCCGAGAAACTTCAATAAACGGAAAGCCGAAGGGCACTTTGGAATCTGTAGCGGCATGGGAGGGAGACTATGGGTGAAGAGTTTGAGGGATACTGACTTTGCGAGAATTCTTTAATTATTTGGGTTTCGGGCTTCTCCGTTAGTGAAATGGGCACTTTCAACAGTGAGCCCCAGTACCATAAGGGAGAAGTACGGGTCTTGACGAAACGTGAGAGTAATCAAATTGCGCGAAGAAGGTATGGTAGCCAGCGCCAAGGACCAGGGGCACTTCTAAGAAGGAAAGACCTAAAGAGAAGGGTCGAGTTTGAAGTGTACAAACGGTGGACCACAAGTGCACGCCAGTGAGCTACAGAGAGCTTCCCTCAAGAGGCCGCAGAAAATAAGGGGGGCGGGGATGGGAAGATGGGTTCGCCCCGTGCCTGGCATCTCCAGGACTCGACTGTCTCCAGGAACCGGCTCCTCACCTTATCCAACAAACCACTGCGGCTGCTGCCTGTCCCGCCACTAGGGCCACCGCCAGCTCCACTAGAGCCTCCGCCACCACCGCTTCTCCCGCCCAGCGACGCTGCCGCCGCCATCTTGCCAGCCTCTGTGTCTCCCTCCCTTCAGACTTGTCCGAAGTCTATTGGTTGAAGCTACGGACGTGACGCAGAGAGCGATGCCTATCGGAATCCGTAGATCGGGCGCGTTCACTCCTGGTTGTTAGCGGAAGTAGCCGCGGGGCTTGTCGGGACTTGTAGTTAGGAGCTCCGACGGGCCGGTTGTGGCGTACAGGGCCAGTCAAGGCGTCCGGGTTACCAAGGAGTGGGTGGATACTATAGTGGCAAACACCACCGTGGAGCTGCTCCGAGATCCCCGGGAGGTTCGCAGGCGCGCTTTCTGCCTGACCGGCCAGCCGTCTCCGAAGTTCGCTCGGAGGCGGAAACGACGCCGGAGGCAGGTGCGATGGAAATTTAGTTTGCGCGAGTTAGTTTCCTCCGTTCCAGATGTGGAGTCTGCAAAGGGACGGGGAGGAGCTCGTTTATCCTCTTCTAGCTCCGTTAGGGCACTTACCCGATTATTTTTTCAAGCGACTGTCTTCTTAGTTTTCAGTACTGTTTCGTGTAGAACTTAAGTGTACCGAGCGCCTACTGTCTTGCCAGTCAGTGCCCTACGTGCCTTTACTGCCCGTCTATCTTTCTTTCACTTAGTTCCAGAACAAGATGAAGGAACTGAGCAATTTAGTTATCCAGAGCCAGAGAGCGTGTATCAGAACCTGGGCTGGAGCCAGCTTTGGTTTCGAAAGCCATTTTATTTCCCTTTGGCACTCTGCTTTTACAGTTTTAAGATGTAATCGCATTCTATATGTTAATTCATTATATTCATTTCCCCCACAAATATTTATTGAACACCAATATTGCCTGACACTACTAAGGGACATAGGTGGCTCACAAAAGACCTGTCACTATTCTGGAGACCTAGAGTGCTCCAGCAGTAATAAGCTCCATTACACTACTTTTTTTTTTTTTAATCCCTATATACTCTCCATAAGTGTCCAAATAACGAAATAAATGCTTGATGAATTGCTTAGTATGTAGTGGGCCTGTTCTAGTTACTCAGGACATTCTCTGAATAGAACAGACAAAAATCATTCTTGGCAAAGCGAACTTCATCGTTACAATATGATCGCTACAGGATATAAAATTGGATTTTTTGACTCCTGTGAAGCAGTTGCTAGCCACTTTGGTCAGATGTTCCTGTACTTCTTGGTGTTGCTGTTCAGCCTTTGCAACTTCTCATGTTTTAAGACCCAGCTCTAATGGCACCTGCTGTGTGAAACCTTTCTGACGTTTACTTCTTCCTTCTTCACAGACAGTATGAAGTTCTTCTGAGCTCTTTGTTCATAGCTTAGTTTAACATTCATTAAAATTTCTTTGGTAGACCAGACCCTCTATGAGGTGCTTGGGAATAAAGAGAAGCAGGACCTAGGCCTGGTCTTGGAGGTATTCATAGTCTGAGGTTAGTGGGATACAGAACAGTCAGGAAAAAAGGCCATTATAACACAGTGTGATAGAGTGCCTCCATTAAAAAAGTGGATCTGAGCTGGTAACACAGAGGAGGAGGGTCAAACTGAACAAAAAAAGAAGGGCAGAAGTTTAGTAAATCAGAAAAATAGAACATGCACATGTATGCAGATGAGGGACGTTACTGTCACTGTGTGTGTGTGTGTGTGTGTGTGTGTGTGTGTGTTCATGAGACAGAAAGAATATGTGTTTTGGAGACAGGAGGTGCTACAGTTACACTGACATTAGCCTTCAAAAGGCTGCTGAAGTTAACCAGGAGGGCAGCCTCAAGCCTGGAACTTGGACATTTTCCCCCTACCATAAGATTCATATTTTTCTTGGGGTTAGTTTCTGGAAAATGTAACCCAGGAATTATGCCCCTTCAGAGGTACATCCATACCTTCTCACCTACTATTCTTCATAAGAGTTGGAACTTCTGTGGTTATTGATGTCCAGTTCTGTATGCTTGAGTTTAGGTTGTCCTTTGTGTTATATACACGGAAAATATCTTTTCCCATCCTAAGTCTTATCTTCAATTTTATTTTTGTGACTTTTATCTTGCAGAAATTTATTTATTTAAGTAATCATAGTCATAATCCCTTCTATTCTGATTTGTGCATTTCATATCTTATTTAAACAGTCCAGGCACACCCCATTGTCATAAAACTGTACCCATTTGCATCTGTGTCTGTTTCTCTATATCCAGCTATTTCTTTGATCTTTGGAAGTATTTTTTTCTGAGACCTCCAGATTTTGGGGCAGAAAGCTCCCAGTAGGATACAATTTATCAGAAAATTCAAGAACTCTGAGTAGCAGACTAAGAAGGATTATAATATCTATTTTGCAGGTCAAGAAACAGGTCAAGAAACAAAAGAAAAAGGAAGCTAAGAGGCCATTGTCAAAGTCAAAGATCAAGTATGTACTATGTAGACCAGATAAAGGTTCTGATATTTTATAAGTTACTGAAGCCTTTTCCAACAGTCATCTCTTAAGATTTCCCACTCATTTATGTACTCATTTATTTCTTCATTCACCTATTTAGTGATAGGTGTGCTTGTCACTAGAGAGATTTCCTGAAAGGCAGATTGACAACACGAATCTGTCCCCAACTATCCACCTATTCGTTAATCTTCCCAGCATATTTTTAGTGATTTCTAGGTTCTGTGCTAGGTGCTATAAAAGTAGCAGACTAAGAAGGATTATTTATAGTGGTGATCTTTACTGTGCTGGTAAACAGGCCCCATGGCAAGTGGGAAGTTGGTGACAGGAGAAACAATTATAAAAGAATGAAAAGTACTATACTAGGAGAAGTATGGGGTGTCTCAGGAATACATGAGCCTCAATCCTTTGCAGGAGAGTTCAGGGATCAGAAATTTATAGTGCTCTGAATTGGATCAAAGGAAATACCAGCATTCATTCTACAGATATTTATGGAATGTATTACATGCCAGGTGCCATATTAGGGAGAAATTGTTGAATATTATAGATACTATCCCTTCGCTTGGGAGCTTGGAGTCTAAATAGAAGTATCAGATATACCTACACTCTTGGGTCCCAGCAGTGGCATTATATCCCTCATTTGTCTCACACGTCTATTTTTTTCTTTTTCATTTTTTAAAATTTTATGGAAAAGGGGTAAAACAAAATTTCATAACAAAATAATAGGAGTTTTTTTCATTTTTAAAAATTTTGTGGAACACACATGTCTTTTGAATGCTTCTTATGAGCTGGATCCCAAGAGTGGAAGAGAGACAATGAGTTGGACATGTTTCCAAACTTGGAGGTTCATAGTCCCTTGAAGGAGACTTTCATGATTTCTAGTAATCTTGTAAGATAGAAAGCAGTCAGGCTATGAAAGAGAAACTGAAGAGATAATTCCAGGGTTCAGTAAAAGCACAATTATTTCCCACTAGAATGCTTAGTGAAGGCCAGGTGTGAGGGTGTAAGCCGTAATCCCAGCCACTCTGGAGGTGGGCATAGGGGGATTGCTAGTCTGAGGCTGGTATGGATAATTTAGGAAGACACTGTCTCAAGATAAAAAGGGCTGGACATACAGCTCTGAAGTGGTAGAATCCTGACCTATATGTATAAGACCTTTGGTTCAATCCTCAGTATAGGAGGAGAGTTGGGGGAGCTCAGTGAAGGCTTTTTAGAAGGAGTGACATCTCGACCATGTCTAGAAAGATGCTTTTCTTTTCTGTGCATTTTAGCCATTACTTTATTTGATTCTTACTATATTTCTCTGAAGCATGGAATTTTTGTCCTCGTTTTCTCTGGAAAATATGGTCAATCTGGCATCACTGACTTACATTTCTGCATGGCAGCAATTGGTGAGGTTGAATAGTACCTGCCTCTGTAGGCACTTTCACACTCATGCACAAACACACACTCCCCCTATACTCCCTTTTCTCTCACATTCAGCTTTCCTCACTCACTCATGTGACCTGCTCAACTCCTGTAACCATGTGTATTTGCAATTTATGGCTAAAATGTAGGTTCTTGCTAGGTTTGACATCAGACTATGTCAGAGAGTTGTATATATTTTTTCTTAGTAAATTCTTTAACAAAAGAATCATTGAATGACAGATGCTAAGCAAAATTATGATTAGGGGTATTCACTCCTTTGAGGAATTATTTTTGTGTCTAGCTCCCTGAAGAGAATAGTAATATGATGAAAGAAAGCCTAATTCAGGCCCTGAAGTTAGAACCATGTTCTGTCCCCAACTTTTGTGCCTGTATGAGCATGCACACATATGCACAGCTGATAGGAAGTTGAAGGTTATTTTTTTGGTATTGTTATTCTTTAGTGGTAGGGAAGTGAGACACTTGGGATATTTGAATCTCTTCTCCTTCCATCTGAGGGAGCCTGCCCTTCTTCCCCCCACCACAGGCAACTCCAACCTAGGCTCAGGTGCTTTTCCTTCTGCCTCCTCTGGGGTGGCTCTTGGGCTGCCCATCTTTCTCCTGAACTCTGAGCATTTCCTGTCCTGCCTTTCCTTCATTTCAGTTTATAGATATAGCCCCACCTTTCTCATCCTCTTCATACCTGCCATAATTAAAAAGAATCAATATAGGCTACCCATCTAGCAGCTACTATTCTAAGTCCTTTCACAAGCATTTGCTCATTTGATCATCAAAACAGGCCTATGAATTGGGTGCTTTTACTGTCTACATTTCATAGAGGAAGACACTGAAGCATAGATAAGTATCATGCGCCAGGCCACACAAACCCGTGCAGTGTGAGTCCACACTCCATCTCTGTAGTGACAGAGAGTCCACCAGCGCTGGGACTAAGGTGGAGGTGGTGCTGTCACTGCTTTTGCTCCACTCTTAGAGACAGCAAGCACCCCTCAGATATTCCCTAGGCACCCCGCTCACCTCCCCCCAGTCCTGGTCCTGCTCTCCACCCCTCTTGACTTTGCCTGCCTTCCCACTAGTTTCTCCCCTTCCTTTCACAGTCACACTTGCAGAAAAACTTCCTTACATTCACTTTTTGCACTTCCTCACCTTCCGTTCCCTTTCCCATACAGTTGAAATCAGATTCTAACTCTACCCTTCCCCAGAACCTGGCCTCCTACTTCCTCATGGCATGTTTTTGGTCTTCACCTCACCTGCCTTTTCTGCTACTCTGGCCCTCTTCCCTATAGGTTTCTCTTCCTTTTGGTTTACCTAACAGCCCCTGCCCATCCTCCACCTCTAGGACGTCTTCTCTAGAATTCCTTTCAGAATCCTCCAGAGTCTACTCCTCCTTCCTCCTTTGTCCACCTCTTAAATGCTCACACTTTATGCTAACAGTAGTTTAGTTGTTCCTCCTTTACTTTGCCTTCCCTTTCTCTCTTCCTTTTTTTTTCTCTTTCTTTCATTCTTTAGTTTTTCACATGGACTCTCCCCAGTTCACCCCTGGACTGCTAGTGCCCCCTACCGCACTTCCAGTTCCAGTCACTTCCTTCTAATACTCTTTTTGGTCAGACCTCTTTTTTTCACAAGCACAGCTTGGGTCATGGCTCTACTAGCTCAGAAATTGTCCGTGGCTCTCAGTCAGGATGAAGGCTGAAGGCTGAGCTCCTAGCCTGATACCACATGCCCTGGAGTAGGTGCCATTCTTCCTGCCCAGCCTACTGTCTAAGATTCCAGACACATATTTGTCCCCTCCTGGGTGGTTATTTCTTTACTGCTCACCACGTGCTCTAAATGCTGGTGTCCCTTCTTTTTGGAATGTTTGTCCTTCTCTATCATCAAACTCAATTCTTCCTTCAAATCCTATTTAGCCAGTTCAGACATCATTATTTACACATCCTCTTCCCTAAATGTAAGCCCTCCTTTTCTCTGAAATCTGTTAAAACTAAGAATATGTCTAGTAAGCACTTAATATGTGCTTGGCACTTCCTTCCTCATTTGATCTTCACATCCCTCTATTAAGGTAGGATTGTTATCCCCATTTTACAAGTGAGAAAACTGAGGCTCAGGGAGGTTAGAATAACTTGCTTAGTCACACTACAAGGAAAGATAGAGCTTGGATTCACACCAGGTCTGAGCCTAAATGTAATGCTTTTCCGCCTGTGAATCTACTGTGGTAGGATTTATTTGAGCTATAAAAACCAGAGCTTTGTCTCCCTCTCCATCTAAATGACCAGCTCATTTCTGAAGCAGGCCAGTGGGCCCTGGGGCCCCGAAGGCAGGGTGTGTGCAGGGAATAGTGGCCCAGACGGGCTATGAGCTGTGTTGGGCTTAGTGCTGTGCTACACTTTTATGCTCTTCTGACTCTCCGTTGTTTTTGCTGGCCCCAGGGAGATGTCCTCCTCAGGAGTCTACAAGCTGGACGATGGGAAGCCTTACCTGAGCAACTGCTTTCCAGCCAAAAGTCTACTTCGGATGCCGGAAGAAGGTCAGGTGACTTATCAGCTTGGTTCCTTTTCTTCACACCAGCTCCTGCTTACACTGGTACTCATATCCGTGTCTTCTTCTGTAGCCCATCACTGCTCTTGCCTCCTGCACTGCTCAGTCCTGAGCCCACGCCTCTATCTTGCAGCAGCCTCAGTGAGCCTTCTACAGTGCATGTTTAGACAAGCCCTACTATGCACTGGCTTCTCATTGCTGACTCCTTTTGCTGCATTCTGTCATTTACAATTTAACCTGCCTTTATTCTGTGCTTCAGCCCGATTCCCATTCCCTGTTCCACAGTGCTGTCTCTTTTTTCACATCACTTTTGATTTGCCCCAGATGTTCCAGTATTCATTTGTTAGCCAGACTCTCCCCATCCGTGAAGCCCCACTTTCCCTACTCTTCCAGCAAGTCATCTGACTGCCCCTCCTCATTCCGTCTTCTGTGTATCTTTCTGCCTGTGTCTCTTATTTGTTGAGTAGTCATATTCTGCACAGCTACTAAATAAAATGCCTTAAACCTGATTCTGCTAAATAGTTTTTCAAACATTTTTTTTTACTCCCTGAAGCAGGGACTCCTCCAGAGCAGAGCCTGTAGATGCAGCATTGTCTGGCACTGTGGATTGGGTTGTTGCTTTGAAAGGCAACAAGAGAGAAGTACACCTTGTTTACTGCAGATGTTGTGATGTGTTGGTCACTGGGTATCTTTGTCCCCTCTTCCCTGCACAGTGTATGTTCTAAGACCCCTAGTGCATGCCTGAAACTGTAAATAGTGCAAACCCTATCTGCATTGAATTTCCCTATACATACTCATGGTAAATGTTAATGTATAAATACAGAGTTACCTGTATATAGTTAGAATTATTTGATTTAGATAATAAAATAGAACAATTATGACAACATAACACAATAAAAATTATTTAAAGCTTATGAATTCTTTACTTCTGAAATTTTCTATTTAGTATTTCCATACTATAGTTGATTGCCAGTAACTAAAACTATGGAAAGCAAAACCTCAGCTAAGGTGAGACAACTGTACATAGAGTATTGGAAGAAATTTTCCTCCAGTCTTTTTTCCCCAGCTCTACAGAATGATTTTATTTTTCACGTGAGGACCTTCCCTGGCCACCTACTTGTTTAAAATCCTCCAATGGAGCTATCAACAATTCTTCTCTCTCTCTCTCTCTCTGTGTCTCTCTCTCTGTCTCTCTCTGTCTCTCTCTGTCTCTCTCTCTCTCACACACACACACACACACAGATGCATAAATACAGAAACCAGTATAGCTGTATGTATTCAAAATGTTAGTATAGTGTGTATATGTACATTGAGAAAGACACCTCAGCATCATAGTTTCTAAATATCATTCTCCAGTGAAAGAAGCAGGGGCTTCTCAAACAAACAAATGTTTGGACAGTGGGGCAGGAAAAATACAAGTTGAGCCTGGAATAACTTATGATGCCAAGAACTAAAGAAGGACTAAAAAATATAATGGAGGCAAGTTGAAAGGACACAGGAGCAAAACAGTGAAGTTACTTTTAGCCAAAGCTGGGACAGTCTGAACAATGAAACAAATAATGGTAGAATAGATTCTAATCCATAGACTAAATCAATATGATTTATTCATATGCAGTTATTCACTGATACAAATGAATATCTGACTAATAAGTGGAGAGAAGGAACATCTCTTTCTTATCACAGAATCCAATTAATAAGTATAGAGGAAACAGATGTAAAAATCACTATTCAAACATTGCAATAAAAGGTTTTAGAGGTCAGAACCATCTGTAGATGTTATATTAGTCTGGGCTCTTCAAAGAAATAGGAGTAGTAGAAGAAGGAGGGAAAAAGAGAGAGATGGAAGAAGGGAGGGAGGGAGAGAGAAAGAGAAATTTTTTCCCTGGGAATTGCCCTATACCATTGAGGCAAACCCTGGGGAAGAGCTGATGTCATAGTGGCAAGTTTTCTTTTTCCCCAGAAAACTTTAGTTTTTGCTCCCTAAGGTCTTCCAACATATGGATGGAGTGTGGGTCATTCTCACTATCAAAGATAGTCTTTTACTTCATATCAGCTGATTGTAGATATTAGCAATCTATAAAATACTATTATAGCAAAAAATATAGACTTGGACTGAGTAACCACATATAGCCTAGCAAAGTTGACACATAACCATGAAAAAATTGGTGGAAATTTGATGAAAAAAGGACATTTGAGTAGTCTCAAAGTATATTTATTAATTACAGAGGGAAAAATTGTAACTTCTCAGTAGAGAAACCAGGCACACACCATTTCAACCAAGTGATCAAAAGTAACATTACCAGAAATAAGGTATAATAACCCCATCAGCCCCCTGGAATGAACTCCCCTTCTGTGGTAGCTTTGCCAATCGCAGGGCCTTAATCTCATCATGAAAAAGCATTGAACAGGTTCCGCTCAAAGCACATTTTCCACAAGTGTTCTTTGTAAGTGTTGAAGCTACACAAGGGAAGGAAAGACTGAGGAACTATGACAGCTAAATACAATGTAAAGTGCTGGGCTGGGTCCTGGAACAGGAGGATGTTAGTGAGGAAACGTAAAGTTCAAAGAGCTCAGATTAGTAACTCATATTGTACAAATGTTAATTGCTTGGTTTCAACAGTTGTGTTATATAAGATGTGAACATTAGGGAAGCTCGGTGAAGGCAGTGTGGAACTCTACTATTTTTTTGCAACTTCTCTGAAAGTCTAAAATTATCTCAAAATGAAAATTATAAAGAAAAAAACAAGAAAATCCTCTTTCTTGTTCCTCTTCTTCCTAAAAACCTATCACAACCATTGTCTGGTTTTGAGAACCTTTCATGGTTTGACTCTGCTGACCTATCTAGCCTCATCTCTTTCTCATGTTATCTCGTGACACTCTGACCTTCCCTCCTGGCCACGTTGAGGGTTTTGGCATCAACTCAGACTGGAGTCTTCTAGAGCCAGGGATATGAGCATAAGATGAAGAAGAGCCAAATTCCATGCCCCAGTTGGAGTCAGCCTTGGGAAATGATGTACCTAGACTATCAAGCCCAGGGCAGGAGTGGGAAATGGGTCACATAGAACACAGGGCAAGAACTGCATCCAAGAAGCAGGATGAGCAGCAGTGGTCAGATAAACAGCGTAAGCCCCCAAGGCAGAGGCAAGGTTGCTCAGGAAGAGAGCCAGTGGGTAGAGGCACTAGGCTGATTCCCACAAGTGTATTGTTCTTCTATGGGATTCTAACCTTTCCTATCTCTGGGTATTTCTTATGCTCTTCCTTCTGCTCAAGCTACCTGGGTTTTATCTCCACCCAGTGAACTCCTTTCAACTTACTGTATCCAATTCATGCTGTAGGCTGGTAGCTGTGTTCTCTGAGCTTCCACAGCACCCACTGTATTGTTGAACTTTTTTGGGTCAGAGCTTCTGTCCTATTCATTTCCATAGTCCCAGCAGTGGCAGAACAAAGTAGAGGCTCAGAAAAGATCTGAATAATTGATTGTATGGGTGGGTCTGTGGCTCAGTTCATTAAATCATTCATTCAGCAACAGGCACAATGTAGTAAACTCTGCAGATCTTGGGAATACTAAGATGAGGGAATTAGACAAAGTCCCTACTCTTCCAATCTAGAGATGAAGATAGACAACAAATAAATAATTGCAGACTGCAGTGAATACTATTAGTAAATAAACTGCTAATGCAAAGGAAAACAGATCCCACAATGTCAGTGTCATTTTTGTTAGCCAGACTTACTAGTAAACTTCAGATTCTTTTTGCCTACATAAATTTTCTTTTTCTACAGTGACTACGTTTTACTGTTTGTTGTTTTTTTAAGATGTCATTTGTCTTATGATTGTCTTATTCTGAGTTCCAGAAAAATGATACCAAAAAAAAATAGTTTGGAGATACATATGAAGGAAGTAATCAGGCAACTCATTCCACCTCTTGTTTTTTTTGATGCCAGGAATCAAACTCAGGACCTTGCTCTTGCCAGGCAGGCGCTTGTGCCACTGAGCTATATCCCCAGCTCCATTCCATCTCTTTTAGTGAGCTTTTTTATCTGTAAAATGAGGACAGTAACATGTCCTTCTCTGGGCTTAGGGCTAATTAAATGATATAGACATGTACACATACACACACACACACACACACACACACACACACAGCATCAGCAGTAGCACATATTTGGTAATCAGGAGTTATTTTTACTTTCGGTACTGGAGGTAAATATTCTGTAATTGCACTTACTGTGTCTTTGGAGATTATCCTTTCTTATTGTTCTGATCATCCCAACAGGGAGAGGGCATTGGTTAGTGGCTCGGAAAGGTAACCTCAAGAAGAAGGCCCCGGGTGTGGTGGCGGCACCCTCCGAAGGTCAAGAAAGCCAAAAGAAGGTTTGTTTTGAGGTTGGGAAGAAGAAACTGTCCCAGCAGAAAAGCCAAGCAGACATTCCTGGACACATCCTGGACCGTGCTTTTCTGGTGAGAGAAACGCATCCTGCAGTGGCTGGTAGCATCAGCTGGTGGAGGGAGTGAATGACAAGGATTTTCCCTTTTTCAGCTGTTTTTGTTCCAACTGGGGCAAGGAGGGACCTGCTCTGATACAGTTACCCCCATTCCAGACTGTAAGAGTGATGTTGGTTAGCAAACTGAGCACAGCCTGGATGGTGAAGGGACCCAAACTTTCTGTACATGTAAAGCCTTCATGTCCACCTTGTGATCAGTGTGATACTGATATTCCTATTATATTGTTGCCATTGGGTGGGCAGGAAAACTGAGGCCTCAAGAGGTAATATTCCTTGGCTGAAGTCCCACAGTCAGCATACAGTTATGGTAGGAGAAGACCTCAGGTCTGTTGACTTTAATGCCTGTTTCTTTACATTACATGAAGTAAAAATTCTTGCTTGAACTGGAGAAGCAAAGGAGTAGTTCAAAGGGAAAGAGTCCATTGAGAATCTCATTCCAGTTGGAATGAGATGGGGTAATTCCCACTCGGCCCTGAGGTGATGTTTTCAGAGATTGGAAAGGGCTTCCTCCCCTATAGCTTTTGTCCCTTTCCGTTAGTGTCTGGCTGAAAACCAGAGGAGCTGGCCAGGTGTCACCCAGTGCTTAGGGCAGGTTTTATGAAGAGAGCTGGGGTGACTGTGTTGGAGATCAGCCAGGTAATTTCACATCTGCTCTGTGTAATGCCTGAGTGGCTTTGCAAAGAAAGACACATCTTGTAAATCAATATTAATGGGCAGTCCAGTTCTCACAGCTCCTTGTGAAGAGCGCTCTGGCAGCCTCCTTTGCTGCAAGTTTCAGCTTATAGTTCCCAAGAGATGGGTGTCAGCATAGCTCAGAGGGTGAAAGAGAACTTCATTGGCTTCATCTCACCTCAGGAAGGTAGTATGAGCTGTTTGCAGAACTTGTGGAATTTGTTTCATTATTACATCCACTTCTCACTGAGAGGGAGAGCTGAAACAACACTAAGAAAGGGCAGAAACATTTTCCATGGTGCTCCTTTTCCCCCTTGTTTCCAAATACAGTTGGCTCTGCATGTCCCTGTGTTCTGCATCCACAGATTCAAATAAGCAGACTGAAAATATAAAATTAAAAGGTTGTACTGGTCAGGCACAGACTCTTTTTTTTTTTATCATTATTCCCTAAACAATAAAGCATAACAACTGTATATATATTATTTATATTATTTTAGGTATTATGAGTAATCTAGAGGTAATTTAAAGTGTACAGGAAAATGAACATAGGTTTTTATGTAAATACTGGTTTTGGACAGCATCGTGTCCAAAGATTCCAGGCTTTTTCTATCCTGCCCAAAGAATTGGCTAGGATGGCCGGTGAACAGTTAACACAACTTTTATTTAACATAAAAAAAGGAGAAAGGGGAAGAGAAGAGAAGAAAGGAAGAAAAGAGTGAGGGAAAGGGAAGAGCAAGAAGAGATACATCCCGCAAGCAGAATGGGCCGCTATAGAAATGAGCAGGGCAGAACAGCAAGATTGCAGTGGCAGCAAAGTTAATGGCCACTGTCTTTTTATATCCTAGGTCCAGTCCATTGGAAGTTGCTCTGTCCACACATTCTGGCCCTAATTGACAGGTCGCATCCATTCCAGATCAGGTTACATAGGAACATCGTGTTCCTAGCCTCCTTTCTAGATGTTCGTAATTGACTGGTTACATTTTGTCTTTGAGCCAGCCTGCCATTGCCTGCATCGCCTACATCAATACCACACCATTTTATCTAAGGGACTTAAGTATCTGAATATTTTGGTATCTGAGATGGATCCTAGAACCAACATCCAGCAGATACTGGCACACATTCCCATGTATAATCCCTAAAGTTTGATACTCATATTGACACTTTAGGTGACAGAAGCAGTGAGGATATTTTTCAAAGTTATGGAATATCCACTCTGCCTGTTACATGGTTCCACTTGAATATTTCACTCATATTGTACTCAGAACCAATCTTCCAACCCCATGTCCTTTTCCCAGATTGTATTGTACTGTCTATGTCAACACTTCTACCAAGTCAGTAACTTGAGGCTATTCTTCGTACCTGCCTCTCCCTTACTGTCCTCACCCCAACTTTACCAAATCCTGGCACTTTTATTAGATAATTATCAAATCTGTCTTCTCTAGCACCACCTAGTCATCTCTAGCATCACCTTCCTTAACTTGGCCACATCATTTCTTACTGGACTATCCCAGTAACTTCCTAACTAGTTCAGACCAATTAGCATGCTTTATTTCACATACAAAAAAGGCAGAGGTGTTGTTAAAGATCAATTAATGTACTGGCTTCATAACACCTCAGGTTTCTTCCATTACTCTGTCCTGTCATCCTCAACATACTGATGTGTCTTCTTAGCCTGATTGATTTCATGACCACAAGATGGCTGCAGTAAAGCTGGTCAGCACACAGGATAACATCCAGGAGTAGAAAAATGGTTGCCCTACTCTGGTACCTATTTTTAGAAAAAAGAAGAACCTTCCCCAAACTGGTCACCCACTCCTGTCCTCAAAACCCAGTATTTATCTCATTGGCCAGACCTATATTACATGTCAAATCGGCCAAAAATCAGTGGCCAATCATGAGATTGCTACCGTTGGCTTAGACAGATCAAGACTTGTCTCTTGCAGGTGGTGCTTAAGAATCTGTCCATGTGGAGAAATGTGAACAGTATTAGTGTTTTGACATGAAAGAAATAGAGAACTGGTTATTGAGAAGGTGATAACATCTGGTACATTGTTCTCTCCTGTCTTATCCTTTCTGTGTATATCAGACTTTGCAATTTTTGTAAAACCACTATCATTCCATACCAAAAGAATCTCTGGCATCTCTCTATTGGTTGTGGGATGAAATCCACACTCCTTGCAGTGCCAACATGGACACACATATCTAAGGACTGCCTTTCTGACCTTATCGTGTTTTTTATCCTTTCAAAAGCACCTTTTTCTGGCTCTGGGTAACCTTCACACCCCTGCCACCTACTTTCATGGGAGCAACTCCTATTCAGCTGTCTCAGCTCAAAAGCTATGTCCTCAGGGTTGAGGACATAGCTCAGTGGCACAAGCGCCTGCCTGGCAAGTGCAAGGTCCAGAGTTCAATTCCTGGTACAAAAAAAACAAAACAAAAACAAAAACAAAAAACCCAACTACTTCCTCAAGTAAATATTTCCTTATTTTCAGACTGAGGTTAGGACCCCTTGTTGCTATCTCCCATAGCATCTTGAATTTCTCTGTTAAAATATTCACTACATTTATAAATATTTACTTGCCATGTGGCATCCCTTGAGATTGTAAGCTCTATGAAAGCTGGAATGTTTCTGCTCGTTCTCCATTGTCTTCCCAAAAGAAATGTGATCCCATTAAACATAAATAGAAGATCCAAAACTGGGATTTGCTTCTGACTTTTTAATTATGTAGGCTGACCTATGGCATGCAAAAGCGCATAGAGTTTAGTGATTGCAGGTTTGGGTTCACATCATAGATCTGTCAGTTATTAGCTGTGGGGCCTTAGGCAAGGCACACTTACTTCTCTTAACCTTGTCTCATTCAAATTAAAAGAGTGATAGTCCTCTGTTCACGGCTTTAGATAGGATTTAGAAGAAGTTTTGTCAATATGCTTAGCATACCACATGGCCCAAGGTAATGCTTAGTAACTATTTCATGAATGAATGGATAAATAATGAATTAATGAATAAGCAAGCAAGATATGACAAGTTATGAGATTGCCTAATAAAATAACACTGAACAAAAATGGCTTAATTAATCACATTTTGTTGGAGCCTTGAGAGCTGACTCTGTGCCCTGTGTCCAGCTAAAGCACCACTGTGTGAGGAAGCCATCGGACCTGTGCACCATCAACGTGAGTGGCCTAAAGTTCTCCAAGGTGAGACCAGCGGCAAAGATGTGATCTGGGTACCAGACCTGAGGCTGTTGTGGTGTTTGTCTGTTGTACCTCCAGAGTTCTTGAGGATGGGAAATATTATCACATGGAAGGAAAGAGGGGAAGGTCAGACAAGGAGTCACTGGGTGGGAACAATATTCAGACGTAAACTTTTGTTGCAACTTTGATATTTTCATTGTTCCATTCAATACAAATTGAAGGAACTCACCATATGATTCTGGTTTTGAGTTTGCCATAGAATTTTGATGGGAATATAATTCCTGTGTAACACTGAGTTGCTATCACAAGAGTCTCCAACCTGATAGGGGTGTATCATTAGAGAAATTCTTATGATCAGGATGCATGTTTAAGAATATATACTGTATCATTGTTTGTAATAAACTATCTACATGTGCATCAGCTGGAAAGGGATAACTTGTAATATCATCAAACAATGGAATACTATCCAGGCAATCAAATAGACTAGAGCTACATATGTCAACTCAAGTAAATCTCAAAAATGTAATACTGACTGAAAAGACATTACAAAATGATATCCTCTTTATGATTGCATATAAAGTAGGGTTGTGAAATATATAAGTAGCATTATATATGGTTGATGAGTACACACATGTGTATGTATATAAATAATACAAGTTCAAAACAGGAGTTGGAATGATGATCACTAGTTAAAGACAGTTGTTACAGCATTAGTGAGGGAGATGTGGAGGTGAATGGTGAAATTTCAAGCAAAGACAGCAAAATATTCATATTTATTATAAGCTGAATAATGGTTACACAGATCTTTACATGTCACTCACTGTGCTTTTCTGTACATGTCACTTATTTCACTGTAGGAAAAAAGCAGAAAAGCCCTTCCAGCCTTCAACATATGGCTGCTCTTGTGTTAAGGATGTCTCTCATCCCCTTCGATCTTTTGTTCCTTCTGGCAGCAGCCCTGGAGTTTCAGCAAGGCTTGCAAGCAGGGAACTAATCTTGCTTTTTTTTTTTTCTTTTTTCTAAAATGCCTTCCTATAGGCAAAGGAAAAGGACTTCAAGCATTTTCATTCCGTGATTTATATCAATGCCTCGGAAAATCTGCTGCCGCTAGGTGAGCATTTTCTACTTGAAAACTATCTTCTGCCTCCTGGCCAGCACAGTCAGTCACTTGTGTTAAGATTTGTCTGTTCACCCATCCATGGTCTATCTTGTAGCCTGCATCAGGCTGGGTGCAAGAGAGCACTCAGACCTGCAGCCCCACGGTGGTGCTATGTATTTAGCGCATTTCTCTGTGAGCTTCTGCTTCTCTGTCTGTAAACAGGTATAATTCCCTTCTTCCTCTATTTGCAGGCTACCTTGCAGATGAGATAGGTGCTTAAGTGTGTAAATGCTCCTAAAGGATCAGGAAGCCTTACTTTTTCAGCAAATTCACAGTGACCCCTGTTGGTACTTTGACTGTATGACAACTTGGCCTTAAAGTGTATGTCCAGTTCTTGTGCTGGCCAGCTTATAGTTAGGTGGGAGAGTCAGGCTAGACAGAGTAAACAATAATAGAGGGAGCTAGGAAAAGCTACACAAGGACTTCAACACAAGCCAGAGAGTTGGGAGGAATTTGTGAGAAGAGGAACATCTGAGCTAACACCAGAAAATGAATAGGGTTGGGTATACTGGCATATGCCTGTAAGTCCAGCATTTAGGAAGCTGAGGCAGGCTAGCCTGGACTACATAGTGAACCCCTGTCTCAAAGAGAGAGAGAGAGAGAGAGACAGACAGACAGACAGACAGACAGAGAGAAAAGGAGTAGAATAGAAATAACTTAAGTAGAAGGTAAGAGGGCATCTCAGGGCAATAGAACAGAACAGCAGTACCTGGCTGGGGAGAAGGAAGAGGCTTGGTATTTTTACAAGAGATGTATGTTGGGGAGAATTCAGACTAAAGAAGAGGCAGGGCCTCGATCCTCAAGGGCCTTATGTGACTTACATGCAATCTGGCAGTCAAAAGACAGCCTTGAAAGGCTTTTAAATAGAGGAGCCACTGTCTGAAGGATTGATCAGAAGGGGAAAAGGTGGAAGCCAGGCTACCTGGGGGGTTGCTTCAGTTTTCTAGGGAGGGGAGGAAGCCTGAGCAGAGCTGTAGCAGCATGAAGGGGGTTAAAAGAGAATCAGCAGGAGGAAGAGATCGCAAGACTTGGCAACCTGTGAGACGGTTTGGAAAGGGAAGAGTCAAGGGAAAACTCACTAAAATACCACACTCAAGGAAGCAGGTCAGGCAGGAAGTGGTTGTTTTGTTGATGTGAATTTGATGGGTGTTTTTGAAGAAGCATCTGATGATGTGCCTGACATGTGGCCTTTCAGGAGTATTGGCTTGATATATGAAGGCCAATAGGTGTATGAAAAGATGCTCAGCCTCACTATCATTAGAACAGCTCAGAGATACTAGTGAGATACTCTAAGATACTGTTGTATCTTGATACTATTGGGATACTCCAAGATACTTTACTCCAAGATACCTCAGAGCATTTCTGTGGAAACACTCTTGTGCAAGGAAGTTCACTGGAAACACTCTGAAATATCCAGTCCTGAAATATTCAGTCTTTTATTAGACTCTGTTGAGTATTCTGACTTACAAGCCTACCATAGCCACACTGGACACCAGGTTAACTTAGAAGGGTCCCGGTAGTATCGTACATCTTTAGTGGAGTGCTCACAGCCATCCATGAGTCATTCTCTTGAGCCCCTCCCCACATGTCACCTCAGATACAAGACGGTATGACTCCTAATTGGGTGGATGTAGGAGCCACTCTAGTTTAGAATCCTCATTACCTACAGGAGCCAGTAGCCTTTATAATACTCTGTAAGCATAGCTCCTAGAGTTCCCATGATGGATGTGTTTGATTAAAGGAGTCACCACATGCCAGGAAACACCCCCTTCAGACATTTATAATTTATTTACAATTTTCCCTATCTGAGATACAACGTACTAATCTGGGTCATTTTTACAACAAGCAATATTGTTTAGTAATACAGTTGTCACAGCACTTGTTTCTGGTTACCAAGGAAACAGGTATAAAAAGGTAACCCAAAGTCCAGTTCTCATGCAGCAGGGAAAAAGTCTGATTACCTTTTTCCACATAACCTATGAGCTATCAATAGGGAAATGGATAAATAAAGTATGCCATACTATAGAACATAATTAAGATACTAGGTTTATGTATCTTAACATGGAATAATCTTCATGCCATAATATTACAGGAAAAAGTCATAATACAATATATATAGATTGTACTGGGGATTGAACTCAGGGTCCTCACACTGAGCTATCCCCTAGCCCTTTCCTTTTTTTAAAATTTTGAGATAGGGTTTTGCTAAATTGCCCTAGTTAGACTCACACTTATAATCCTCCTGCTTCAGCCTCCCAGAATGCTACAAACACAGGCATGCACCAGCATGCCTGTCATTCCACTTTTTCAAAAAGAAGTGTGTGTATTTCCCTAGTGAATATATACATTTTCAAAAAGAAGTGTGTGTATTTCACCCAGTGACTATATACATAGGAAAATATATACAGTGTTGTGCATTAAATGTTTAATAGTTATTTTTGGGTGTTAGGATTAATGTTTGACTATTTTTGGTGGGCATGGTTATCTTCTGTAATCAAAAATAATAGAGAGAGGGGCTGGGTGTATAGCTCAGTGGTAGAGCATTTGCCTAACATGCTTATGCCCTGGGTTTAATCTCTGAATCTAGCACAGATGGGAAGAGGCGGGATAGGGAAAAGAAGCAAAGAAGGAGAGGGAGAAGAAGAGGGAAATGGGGAGGGAGAAGGTAGAGCTAATAACAGAGAAATATTTTAAATGGGCTTTGTATTTGGGCCAATTTAGATTTAATTCTTGGTTCTTCCACTTACCCACAGCTCCATTTCTAGCAAGTCACTTAGCCTGGCTGAGTCTCCATTTCTTCTGCTATAGAAGTGGTAATTCCTATTTTTGAGTGTTTTTAGAGATTTAGATGCCATGTATGTAAAGCACCTTCCCACAATGCCTGGCTTGATCCTGTAAGGACCCAGTGAATGGTTCATTATTAATATTTTAAATCCTTTATGAGCTGCTGATTATTTCTTTCTCTTCTCCATGTAGAGACATTTCATACATTTCCAGCCCTAAAGGAACTGGAGCTTGCATTTAATGGCATCAAGACCATCTACGTGAAATATGGAGACTTTAAGTTATTGGAAGTAAGTCGGAGGTAGGGAGTCTTGGGTGCCCATCTGTTCACCTGTGAGTAATGAGTTTGGGATCCCCTGCTGAGTATAACTTTTGGGAAAGGACTCTAAGCCTCTGCATCCAGGCCATTGCTTCACATTTGACCCTTGGGAGAGTAGCGGCCATAGTGGTGGTGATGGTGGGGTTGGGGGTGATAAAGGTAACTATAGTGGTGGTGGGTGATGATGGTGATAGTGATTGTGGTAGCACACTGATGATATCTATGGCCAGTGGTACATAGTCCTGAAAAATAAATGCTAAGAATCATTCATGTTCAAGGGAGTCTATGCAGAAAAGTGAGTTTAGGAAGAGTATCAGAGGAGAAAGCGCTTGAGGGGAGATCTGGATCCTGTAGGGGTGGGGAGCCTTGGAGATTAAGAGCTAGTGCAGCAGACTAAACCAGCTAGAGCAGAGACATTATGAACTGATGCCAAAGACCCGACATGGTCTGAGTGAGCTGGATCAGTCCTGGGGGACTGGTGTAGAGCAGACCATAGGCTTAGTGCATAGCCTCAGAGATGGGGATTAAACAAAATAGCGCTTCCATGAATTCTACAGCAGACTGACATATTTACATTCACAACTATTCTCCAAACCTTAGACTTTAAAATACAGAAATGTTTGTTTGCATTGTTGGCTTGCTTCTTAGTCAAATTCTCACATATTCATACATTTCCTATGCATGCCCTCATACTTCCACCCAATTACCTCTTCAACTATCCTGAAGATTCGATGGCCACTTTTGACAAAGGAATAAAGCTTGTGTCACTACCTGAGAGTCACCGTGCCCATGGAGAGTAGAGAACAACAGGTAGCATCAGGAGTGGAGATGGCAGCTGGCCAGACTCTCTCCCTCACTAAATAATGGACTTTCCCCCACGTGCTGGCCTTATGGAAAAGCATTTCCAGTTCATGCCTTAGCGAAGTGTCTGTATGTTGTGAACTATGGGATTGACCTCAAACAGTTGGTAAGTTGGATGATTTAATCTGCAGACATCAAGGGTCAGCCATCTTTCACACAAGCTTCACTTCACTTGGTCTTTTCAAAAAGGGGAACCTTCCACAAAACTTGAATTTTCCGAGAGAGCTGATGGCCAAGAGAGTTTCTGTACCACTGTAAAAAAGTTTAAACCTCTTGAAATGGCCATCTTCCTAAAATAGATTTTATCTGTGCATTCTTAAAGCATGCTATATAGAATATAATGGTAACTTCTCCCCATGATTTTGAGTCACATATGATTTGGGACAGGAATGGTCTCCAGACTTGTCCCAGAAGCACAGCTCCTCAGAGTCTAATAAAATGGAGACAAAGTAAATTTACAATAACTGGTAAGGTTTGGCATTATGTTTTAAAAACATTTTCTAGTAGATTTTATGTCGACAGTGGGAAATGATCCTAGATGCTTTAGCCACACAGGGAGCTGTCCCTTGACCTGCAGGCCTAAGAGCCTCTTATGAACTTTGTCTATTATTTTTTTCAGAGAGTAGCTATTGAAATTTGTGTGCTGTGCATGGTGCCAAGTATCTTGTGTTCTCCCCACTACCATTCCAAACCCCTATTTCAAGTTCCATTGGCCATGGAGAGGGAACATGGCTACAGGCCCTGACCCCACAGTTGACTAGCTTAGATCTAAGAGTTGATCATGCTTGATTTTTAGATATCCTACTTTATAGTTTGATAACATCTGATGATGATTATTTATCCAGGAACCTTGACCTTACCCAAAGGAATTTATTTACAAAATGGAACAGAACAAAGTTAGGATGTAGAATATAAATGAGAAAAAGACGTCTCTTGACCAGTCATTTGTTTTCATTTCTCCTGTGATTTGCAAGGGCTCCCTAACAAAAAGGATAAACCTGTCAAGTATCCTGAATTTGTAGCTCACAGTAATGAATACTTTGATGTGTAATAAAACTTGATGTGACTCAGCAGATATAGTGGCCAGCTTAGAAATCTTCTGTCCTTGTTTGTCAGAAAGGGTGTCCCAAAGGGAAAAGTCCAGAATAGAATTCTTCAGGAATCAATGTAGAAAAACTTAACTCTACATGATTTCACTCTCTACTTATAGATTTGAAAACAGTTTAGCTGGACCTCTGCCCTGGCAGTCAGAGGACCTTGTTTCTAGTCTTGGTTCTGCCAGTGCTTTGCCATGCCTCCTGGGACAAATCACTCTCCCTCTCTGGGACTCAAGCCTTCCCTTCTAAATACTGGGCCAGCTCCACAATTCTGTAGTCTGTGATTCTAGAATTATTTATTTCTTTGAGCTGTCTTTAACTGCGTGGAAAGCAAATTTGGATCCAACGTTAAGTAGTCAAAGCAGCTAGAACAGGGGTCTATAAGCTTTTTCTGTAGGAGGTCAGATAGTAAATATTTTAAACTTTGTTGTCCATATAGTTATAGTTAATCATAACTCTTATAACTGTAGCTCTGCTATTATAGGTGGAAAGTAGCCTTACATAATATAAAGACAAAATGAGCATAGCTATCTTTCAACAAAACTTTATTTAGCATGCTAAAATTTCAATTTTGCATAATTTCCTCATGTAACACACATTCTTTTTCTAATTTTTCAAATGCAAAAGTCATTCTTAGCTCATGGGCTATACAAATGGCATTAGGCTGGATTTGGATTGCAGGCCTTGGTTTGCCACCTACTGAGCTTGAACACTGATAAAGCAGCTGAGTATGGCTGGGAGGGAGAGTGAGCATGATAAAGAAGTGGAATATGAGCTTAGAAAGGTGGCAGAAGAGGAGGCGTAGAGAACCTTGGAAACCTTGTTAAGGAGCTTAAATTTTATGGATAACAGGGATCCACTGAAGGATTTTAAGATAAGAAGGGGTATGGCTAGGACTGTATTTTAAGAAAATCATTCAGGCTTCTCTGTAAAGAAGGAATTGGAGGAAAAAATATATGAGAGATAATAAGGATGTAGATAAAATCTGTGCATGTTGATGACTGTCCACATACAATCATGGTGGAGAGAAATGTTTCCACTTTTACTAGTGCATATCTGAGACCGCCTTTCAGGCCTTCCTCCCCTCTTTGCTCCAGCCAAGTCACATTGCCCCTTGTGTGAACCCTCAACCCCACAGTTTGCTGCTGGCAGCGTGAGCATGGCACTCCTTTGGTGCTTGGCACCTTTCATGGCCTAGCCAGTCTTATCAAGCTTCTTATACTATGTGCTTTAGTAATGCCCAGATTATTCACAGCTCTTGTAACAAGCAAGGCTGCCTCCTGCTTCATGCCACTTGCTCACCCCAGTGTCTCCCTTAACAGTTTGGTGAGTACCTACTCTTCTCTGAGGACAGCTCAGACATCTCCTCTGTGAAGCCTATTCTGACTCCCCGATGATTCCTTCCTTTGTGTCCATTGGGTCTGTGTCCAGACATCTATCTCAGCAGCATTGCTATTTAACAGACATGTATGTGTCTAGCTTTCCAGAAAGCGTGGGGGCTTCCAGAGGGCAGAGACTGGAACAAAGTAAGCTTTCAGCATAGGATCAGCGGTGATGGTGATAAGAACCAACATTAGTTAAGCATTTACTATGTACCAGATTACAGGCTTATGGCTTTTCTACATAAGAATCACTTACTTCCACTTTCTAGATAAGAAAGCCCAGGTTAAGTAATTAGCCCAAATCATACAGATAGCCAGGTCTTCTCAGGTCTTTAGAGCCCATCAGTTAATTACTAAAGCAGAGTGGGACCAAACCCAGTCATTCTCTGGCAGAGACCTGCAGTGTGTATGCACCTGAGTGACTGTGTGACACTGATGAGATTCCCCAAAGACTCCTGGCTCCCGCTCCAGCTGGATCAGACACTGAAACTAATCCCAGTCAGCAGACTTCAATATATGTGTTGGAGGTGGATGCAGGGGAAGCACACAAGAAATAGGAGTGGAAGGAGGGCAAAGCCAATTGTATAGAGGAGCTAAAGGGAGCGACTAGAGAGGCTCAGTAGAGCCAAAGCAAAGAAGTAGAGATTGTGCAGTTTCAATTTATCTAATTGCCTTTGTCCTTGCAGAGAGAAGGTCAGCTCTCTGGCTGGCCTCTTGACCCTAGTCAATTCTTAGGAGTCTAGGTGGCCAGTTGGGTGTGGTTAATGATGGGATGACCATTTGGGGTCATTATCAGCCAGTTTATTTCTGCTCATTTTTTGTGTACCTACTTTGTGCCAGGCCCTATGCTAGCTTCCAAGGATACAGTGTAACCGTGCATGGTCCTTGACCTCAGAAGGTTTGTGATCTAGTATATGCCAAACATTTTACAAACCACATCTACATGCCAATATCCCTATTCCTCATACATGTTTTCAGCTGTCTCAGATACCTGGCAGAATTTGATTAGTACCCTGAGAGCAGTTTAGGCAAAGCATCCAAAAGCAGGGGAAGAAGAGATTCCATCTGGCCAGGGGATTGAGAAAGGTTTTGAAAGAAGACATCTTTCCTGTAATTGCAACTACTTGGGAGATTAAGGGAAGAAGATCACAACTTCAAGGCCATCCTGGGCAACTTAGTGAAACCGATCTCAAAAAATAACAAGGACTGGGGATGTAGCTTATTGGGAAGGCCTTGGATTCAATCCCCATTATGGGGGCGGGGAACTTTGAGTTGGCCTTTGGGAAGTGGGATTTGGATGTGTGGAAGGACACTCCTGTCTGAGTGTAAAGCACAGCGGGGAACGATCGGCGGGGTGAGGCAAGGAGTGGGAAGGAGTCAGTTTGGCCGGCGTCACAGTATAATCACATTTGCTGTGGCAGCTAAGGCTGGAAAATAGGTTGGGAACTGACCCTAGTAGGGCTTGAGTGTTAATCCAGAGTTTTATCTTGTGGGTAATGGAGCTTTCTAGAAAGTTAGGGGAGAAATGTAGCTAGCCCCTAACTGATGGAGAAACGTCCTAGTCATACATAGTGCTTCTGTTCTCCCATCTTTTTTCTTCCCCTGGTAGTTCTTGGACCTTTCCTTCAACAGCCTGACTGCAGAGGCCATCTCTGACCTGGGGATTCTGCCACACCTCCGCGTCCTGCTCCTGACAGGCAATGGGCTCACATCCCTACCACCCAATTTGGCTGTCACAGAACAGTAAGTTCGCAATCCTCTAGTCTGTCCTATATATTCCCTTGGGAGCCTTTGTTTGGGTACAAGTATCCAAGGACCAAGGCAAGAAGATCACAACTTCAAGGCCATAATCCAAACGTAATCCAGAGCAGCTTTGAAAGTGTCGTAAAGATAGCCATGAGGGCTCAGAGCGGGGAATGCTACCTACTGAAGCTCCCTAGGAAGGCCCAAGATGGGTTCCCCCACTTTCCTGTGTGCTGTCAAGAGAGGACCTGACATTTGGGAAGCTGCTTTCCCGGCCTTGGATTGGTCATTTGTAAATTGTAGCTATTGCTCTTGCCACATGATTCCTCTCCATGACCCCTCTACTCCAGCTCAGTAGGTCTGTGTACTGGTTTCTAAATAAGTAAGGTACATCCCTACTCTGCATCTTTGTTGAGGCTGTTCCTTCTGGCCAGAAGGTAGTGGGCCTTCTCTTAACACATAAGCAGTGCTTACCTTGTACCAGACACTACCTCAGCATTCCATGTATGTTAGCTCATGTAACCTTCACAAAAGTCTATGTGGTAGATGCCCTAGTATCCTATTATTATCCCCATTTTTTTTAGATGAGGAAATGAAAGCACAAACAATTAAATAACTTCCTCAGAGTTACAGAGCTAGTCAGTGGCAGAGCCAGGACTTGAATCAAGTTGGTCTGACTCTGGAGACCACACTCGTGAGCGTCATCTTCTCTGGAATGTGCATATTCCAGGGCCCAGCCCAGCCTTTCTTTCCTGCTTCCCCCACCAGAAGCTTTTTTTGGGACAACTTTAGCCTAGGCCCCTTCCTTTCTTCTCTAAACATCTGGTGAATTTAATGTTTCCCACTTAGCATATTCTGTTACATTTTATGCCTCATAAACATGTATCTTTATAGGAGGTAGATGGATGGATGGTGTATATAGCCCCCCATAGTAGGTTATGAGCTCCTTCACAGCGGAGCGCTCTGATCTGCAGCTCCTACTGGAAGATGAGGGTCCAGTGCTTTGCACACAGTACCTGCTCAGTGAATGTTGGCTAACTTAGAGAGGATGATGGTGAAAGTCATGGTGATGATGTGCATTGCCGTGATAGAAGAAATGACAGAGATGATAGTGAAGATGGTGGTTCATTAGTTGCTTGAGAGGTTTGGAGTAATAGTAGTGATTATTACATCCAGGATTTATTAGTTAGGGTTCTTTTGTTTGCAAGTAACACAAGTTCAATCCAAACTAGCTTAAACAAAAAGAAAACTTACTGGTTACTAGCTAAGAAGTCCTAAAGTGATTCATTTAGCTGGACCCAGATGCACAGGACGTTGACAGTCCTCTGTGTCCATCTGTATTTCTTGGTCATGTGTGTAGCTTTCTTTTTAAGTATTGGGGACTGAACCCAATGCCCACCCCATTTTAATTTTTATTTTTAATTTGAAACAACTTTTTACTAAATTGTACTGGTGGGATTTAAATTTAGAATTCTCCTGCCTCAGCTTCCCAGATTGTTGGTATTATAGGCATAGCCCACTCACTTGCTCTCTCACACACAGCAGACATGTTTATTTTCTTTTGTGTTGGCCTCATTCTTGGACAGACTTTCTCCAGGACAAGATGTTTATAAGTCAGAATTTAACTTAGGAATACAAAAGACACTCAAGGTACAGTATGTAAGTGGATGGAATTCACTTATTTTTAGTGGGAATAGATAGTTATTGGTATTTTATCACAGAAATTTTCAAATACATATGAGTTAATAGTACAGTGAACTCCGGTGTGTACCTATCACCCAGTGATTATCACCTGACAATTACAAAGCCGTGCCCAGTCCTATTTCATCTATGCCTTCATCACATCCTATTCTAGATTATTCTTAAGAAAAATCTCAGATGGATCCAACCATAAGTGAATCAGCAGATTCATATAATTTCATCTGTAAATATTTCATTGCATGCCTCAGAAAGATAAATCCCACACAGTGAAACTTTATTCTACCTAAAGTATCACCAATTGTAAACAGAGGGAGTTGGTTACATAAGTGTTAGAAGGGTTAGAAGAGACCATGGAGAATGGAAGAAGAATGAAAAGGGAGGATTGATATGCAGCGATCAGAAGCTGCCAGCCCTGCTAGATTGGAGCCCAAGTCTAAACCTGCTGCTGTGCTTTTAGAAAGGTTATCACTATGATTGCTCTTCTGAAGATCCTCTGCTTTAACTTCTACCACCATCGTCACCACAGTTGGTACTATCATTGCTGCTGCTCCCAGAAATGCTATCAGAAGCCATACAAGAGAGTTGCTTCTCCCCCTGCTCTCCCTGCCAGTCTCTCACAGGTCACTTCTACTGGCAGTATGTAACTGGAAGCCAGGTGGAAAGTCAGTCTGCAAGATGTAGTTAAGCCCTCATCACACACAGCAGAACAGAGAGGGAAGGAGTAAAGGCTGAGAGCACTAGGCAGATGACCACCACCATCCATCCTAGGAACCCCAGCATTTCTCCTCTTTTTAATATTTAATTTCTATTTAACAGTAGCAACCACAGCATGCTTCCACCTAGCATGAGAGAACTTCTCTTTCACATTCCTCAAAAAATGGGTGAGACCATTCTATTAGTTACTGTACCCACCTTGGGATGATAATATTTTCTCTTTTAAATAAATTTATGAATATTTTATACTCTAATAACTAAGTTGTAGGGCTAGGTATGTACCTTAGTGGTAGTGTTTGCCTAGAATGTACAAGGCCCTGGGCTCAATATTCAGCATTAAAAAGCAAAAGGACAAAAAAAAAGACAAAACCACCAAACAAACCATTTTATGCACAGTATATATTTTCATGCACATTTATACATAAATAAGAAAGAAAATGCACATAAAGATATTGACTGTTGCTAGAACCATCTTTTCATAGTTGATCAGGAAGCCATACTGGACATTTACAAATCCTTCCTTTTTTTGGTACCGGGAATCAAACTCAGGACCTTGCGCTTGCCAGCCAGATGCTTGTACCACTGAACTATATCCCCGGCCCTACACATCCTTCTCCCATCACTCATTTAATGTGCCTTTGCCCTCCTACAGCATCTCATTTGGTTGGGGTAACTGGTGTGGTATCCTAAACCTTCACTCTTGAAGGGTCTGAGTCTTCAAAAGCCCTGCTTTTATTTAGGCTGTTGAGGTGTTTTCAGAACTTTTACTAACAGACATGGAATTTCTGGGCT